CATCTTATAAGTAGGATAGCCCTTTTCTACCTCAGAGAGGCATTGTGTGGTTAAAATTCTTTCAGCACTGTAAGACATTCCAATACTATGGTCCTTGGGGCCGTATAAAAACTAGACTGCAGCCTACCTCCTGATACACCTTTTCCAGAATGCTGCTCTGGCTCAGTAGTAGAAAATACGTTAAAATTGGGATCTGATCCATGATTCCAACAATCTCACTTACTGCTGTGCTGTTGATTGAGGATCGGATCCCCTACACGTCATATTGTCGGTGCAAGGGGAGCCCGGGATTATGATCCCAGGCTGTCCCTGCAATGGGTAAGTAGGAAACCAGTCAGCTGATCCCTGCTCCCACCCTCAGAACATACTGGAGTTAAGGGCTCCAGTGATCCCCCAAGGCTGGAAACACTGATCAGCTGGCTGCCACTCCCAGCTTCGAGGGCACGCCAGAGCCCTTGACTCTGATGCATCCCTGATGCTGGGACCCCCAATGAGCTGCTGCTTCCAGCCTCTGGGCTGCAACAGACTCAATGTCTCTGATGTGTCCCCAGGGCTGGGAATAGCAGCTGATTGCAGCTCTGAGCCTTGGGGGCACACTGGAGCCCTTGACTCTGAGGCATCCCCGCATCTGGGAGTGGCAGTCAACTGATTGGGGCCCCTAGCCTTAGGAGCACATGAGAACTCTTGACTCTTATGTGCTCCCCAAGATGGAAGCCCCAGTCAGCTGATGCCTAGCCAAGCGTGCAATTTCAGGCACAATGGGAACTGGCCACAAAGTTATTACTCTTATTTTGTGTAATAACTTTGTGGCTTATTCTATGTTTATTGTGCCATTCATTGCATTAATGTGTGGCTTGGTTACTACTTAAGCCGTGTGTAACTGGTTGATCACACCTTAAGCGTAACGTTTGCCAGGGGCCTAATATTGCCAGTCTCAGGTGACTAAACTGAACAGGTTGGTAGACACAGCTGTCCAAGGTGTAAGCTGTTTTTGCTTTGTCTCTGGCGCAAGTGGTATTTGTTGTTTTCTGCATCTCCTAGCCCATGTTCTCACACTGCTCTGGCTGAACAACTTGGCTTCAGTTTGCAATTTGCTCCATTAGTCCAGTCTTGGGCTCCCGCCCAAACTCTGTTATGGCTCCTCGTTCCTGACCTGGGTCTCTCTTAAGCGGTGACTGCCACCTGTGCAGCGGTTTCATGATGTATGTAAATATCTGCCAGGGACTTTGTTACTCACCAGAATAATTTAATTTGTGATCCATGATGCATTTGAGCCCAAGTCTGAAAACCTGTGCATTAACCCGTTGCACCCTGTGCCTTGTAATGAACCAGTGGAGTCGTATTAATTTAGCAAAGGACAGGTCTATGAATCTGCAGCAGTTGACTCTGCTGCTATTGCCTGGCAACTGTCTGAAGAGTGCTGGGGCAGCTGGAGAACAAGACTTCTTGGCTTTGGGATGCCCAGGTTTAGACAGGGTGGAATGGCAGCTATTGCTAGTGGAGCCTCAAGGTGCCTTGAGCTTGTGTTTCTGGAGTTGTATGTATGTAGCTCAGTGAATCTTGGTTTAAGAGAAAAGGAGATAGTGTGCACATCAAGGATAAGACTATGTACATAGTGTAAATAAACTGTTCTACATCTCTCCCTGAAACATCAGCTTCTCTCCAGTAGCATTCAGAGTCCCTGAAAGCAATCACTACTCAGGGGGGAACAATATTATTACATATTACTCTTTTTCATTGTACTTTCCACTTTATAGCAATTTCAGTTCAAGCATCTCAAAGCCTTATGCAGACTCAAGTGAATTAAACCTTGCAACACCGTTGTGAAGTAGGGATTAATATTATGGCTACTGCTACTTTGCAAGCAGTGAAACTCAGAAGCAGAAAAATTAAGGTCACATTTTTCAATAATGGTCATTGATTTTAAATACCCCAACTAGCAGTCATATTGGAAAATTGTGGTCTATGTAGCTTGTCAGAGATCATCTAGGACATCAGTGGCAGGGCTGGCAGGAGAGCCCAGAGAATCTAACACCTTATCCTAGGCACTAGCCACATAACCATCCTGCCCTGCAATGCGCTAGTATACACCCATACCAGTTCTACCCACTGTATGAAGACAGAGATCAGTTTTTTCTAAACTGGCATTGAACCTTAGTCTACTGTGACTCAATAAGCTAGACTTACTGATTTCCTTAAGACCACTTCAGCTAACAGACCTAGTTAAAATATCCACTGTAACTTCCAGAAAGGAGAAGTAATTAGCCATGTTAGTCTGAAGTGAGGCAGAAGGTAGGGTAGAGATGCACCTTAACTGAATCAGAGATGCATGTATTTGTGAGCAGGAGCTCACTTAATCAGGTGTAATCAAATGCTGTCATAACATCCGATAAAGTCAGCTCCTGCTCATGAAAGTTTATGCATCTCTGATTCTGTTAATCTATAATATGCATCTCTACACTGCCTTCTGCTCAAGAAAGCAAAGCTTTTTAAATTCTCTGCCTTCCATGGAAAATGAGCATGTCTACATGTACAAATGCTGCAGAGGGGGTTTACTCTAGAGAAAGTAACCCACAGTAAGTTTATGTGTAAATGCCTGCCCACCCCAGGCAAGCATCTACATGTGCAGGGATAAAGGAGCAGATTTGGTGCTCCTGCCCCCGCTGGCCCTGCACTGGCCCTCTGCAGCAGCCAGGGGCAGTTGTACCCTCCCCCTGGGTGCTAGCCCAGGGGCTGGCAGGGAGCATGGGGCCAGGAGACAGCTGGGAGATTGCTCCCTGCCCCTGGGAGCTCTGCTGCTGGGGTAGGCGGCATAGTGGAGCCCATGCAGGGGCAGTGTCCCCCTGCCTCAGTAGCAGGGAGCTCCTAGCCCCAGCTCCCCAGTTGGGAGCAAGGGGCTTGGAAAGAGCTGCAGGGGAGGGTCTGGGACTTGACCCTCCCCTGCAGCTCTTTCCAAGTCCCATGCCTCAATCACCCAATTGGGGCACAGGGCTGGGACCTGCCCCTGACCAGGACAGTTCCCAGCCAGCCCCAGGCTGCATGGGGAAGTCTGCACATGCAACCCGGAGCTGGCTGGGGACTGCCTGAAATGGAATTGTCTCCAGCCGCCTCCAGGCCATATACAGACTTCACCAGGCAACCCAGGGCTGGCTGAGAACTGTCCCAGTTGGGCAGGTCCCAGCCAGCTCCAGGTTAGGTGGGAAAATCTCATGCAGGGAGCTCTGAGCCCCAGTTCCGCAATCACAGAGTGGGGGCTGGGAGCTTTTTCCCAGCGCTTCCTCTATGATTGCCAAATAGGGGCTGGGAACTTGTTTTAATTATTTGCAAGTAAATTTGCTACTTGTATTTACAGGTAGCAAATTTACTCACGACTAGAGTAAATTGCTGTGCAGTAAATGTCTGCATTTGTACATGGTGATGCTTACTGTGCAGTAATTTGCTCTAATCTCATGTAAAGCATTTTATGTAGATATGCCCAGTTTTTACCTTTCCCCAACTTGATGTGTTTGACCTTACAAGTATATATCACATTGGTTGAGCTTAACTTGCAGGACAGTTATAGTCCCAAACCTATCGTGAGTTTGTTGTGATGGTCTTCCTAGAAACACAGTATTGAATCCTCACATTAGGGCATTCCATCTACACACAAAGACATTTTATCATGATTGAAGTACTGTACACATAGAGATATCATTGTACATTAATGCAGCATCCTGAAACAATGATACAAACACTATGACACAAAACAGGCACACCAAGCATATAAGACAAATATATGAAGGAGACAGCTTACTACCTACAGGGAGATATCAGTTAGATGCTTTGTACAGGTTTGCATATGTGCTTATTATAGTTTTGTCCTTTCTCTTTTGTCAAGCTGCCTTTAATGAAGCCTATAAAATAAATAACCATTGCTGTACTGTTTAGTAAGTAAAATTACTGCCTTGCACACTCGAGTAACTGACCCTTCTGGGGGACGGTTTCTCAGTCAGGAACCAAACCAGTGGTGTAGGGTGCAGGTTGCTATGAGCACAGCTCACCTCATTAGGTAAAGCTGACACTGCCCATCCTTTCCTCTTTTAAACAAGACGTTGCATTTTAATCTTATGGGTTAGTGACTTTTCTGCCCACTTGAGATGCCAGGAGCAAGTATGAGATTACATTATCTTTAATGATGGTTGCAGGAAAGCAGGGTCATGTGTTAGATGTCTGGGTTTGATTAGTCTGGGGGGACATTTTTTAAAAGCTGAGCGACTTGTGTGTCTGGACTGCCTTCAGTTTCTCACACAGGGTGAAGTAGAAATATCTGAGTGAAGGCAATTGGGCTGGAGTTATGCAGCAGTGGTGTATCACTCTTCACCCCTTTATTCCAGCCCAAAGCCTTTTCTCCTAATCTGGTATGGAGTAGGGAGAGATGTTATCTCTGGTGGTGGCAGCAAAAGAATCCTGGTCTGACTTATAAATTACCATGTTTGGGGGCAGGGGGAAGTGGAGAGGGTAATTTTTTTAGGAGTGTATTACCAAATGAGAGAGAGAGATAGAGGAGAGCTTCCCAATAAGTATATACAGCTACAGGACCACCAAAATGGATCTGTAAACTCCAAACAAGGTCCCAAGAACATGATGATCCTCAGAACAAGACCTTGGTCACTTTGGAACTGTTCCAAAGCCTGCAGAAGTCAGTGTCTTTCCACTGATTTTGGTAGGATTTGCTTAATTGGGGCAATAACTGTATTCTGAAAGAGGTGGATCAGAGACTGGATTGATGTTGCATCTGTCTCTGAAGGTTTTGTCTAAAATATGCTTTAGGATTATTCGACATCCTGAATATAAATCCATCTCAGAAAGAGATTTTGGCAGAATGAAGGAAGGGGGGTGTTGTTCTGTTCCTTCCAACTCAGTTTATGTAAACAGTACCCAGATACCACCATAGCAGACAAAGAAGACATGGACATACTGAATATTGTTGTATACTTATCTAATTGTTTTTTGCTTTACAGATCACCACATTATGCCTGCCCCGAAGTAATCCGGGTAAGTTACTTTGAAACATAAACACCTGTGTAAAAATGTGTCACTCATTAAATGCACAGAAAGTCAGTCTCCACAGCAAAGGACTCTTAAGCCAGTCAACATTGAATTGGAAATACTTAATATGGCAAACATTTTCTCTCATGTAGTGAGGCCTGGAAGTATGTCCTGCTAGTAGTGGAAAGAGGTGACAATATGTCAGTGTCAGAGGGCACAGTTCACTGAGGGACCCATCCATCACAATCAGATGAACAGCTGGATCTGCAGTGAGCAGTTTTTTGGGCCTGAGGTCCACATAGGCAATTTTGGTGAGCTGTCACAAGCTGGGTCAGCACGCCCTCCCCACCATACCCCCTGTGAAACAGCTCACCAAAACTCCCTATGTGGGATGGGGCCCTAGGCAGTGGTGTTCAGGAGCAGGATGGGCACGTGAGGCCAGGGTCGCAGGATGTAGTCATGGGGTGGTGACAGTGCAGGGCTGGGGCTGGGTCAGAGCCACAATCTGCTGCCAGTGTGCCCCTATGACAGGCTCTGGTTCTTCAGGCAGGAGCATGCAAGGAGCAGATAGCAGCTCTGCTCCGCCCAGCCCCACACTGTCACCGCTCCATAATCTGGCCCTGTGATCCTGCCCTCACCTGTCCATGGAGAGCGACCCTGGATGCAGCGCACAGCCAGGTGGGGAGCTGCTTCTGGAGCCATGGCAAGGATCTTGGGGCGGTGACAGCATAGCACTGGGGCAGAGCTAGAAGGTGGCACCGGGCCTTGCTGAGGGGCTGCAACACCCACAAGGGGGAGAGGAGGGCTGCGAGCCCCATGGAGGGGGCTTGGGAGGCCAAGGAGGGGAGGCAGGGGCAGGGAATGGCCACGGGGCACTGCGAACCCCACCAAATGGGGGGAACTTAGCCTCCTTTCCCTCCCCTGGCCCTAGGTGCATGGCCCGCAAGCGGGGGAGGGAGAGGGGTAGACTCAGTGTCAACTCCACATCACTTGGGATGGTGATGGTGCTTACCCTGCCATACCCTTGTAAGCAGCACCCAAGTGAGGCAGGGAGTCCCCCCTCCTGCATCCTGTGCCGGCCTGCTGGCTTGGTTTGTGACATAGTGGCATGGAGCAAAGCAGTGCAGGGGTAGCGGAAGTGGTAGGAGCCCCAGTGAAGATGCTGCAGCCAGGGCCAGGGGCCAGCCTCCGTGGATACTGGCCAGGAGCTTTGTGGCCAGGTGTGCGGCCAGGTGGGGAGCTGCATCCAGGGCTGGGGGTCAGTCTCCATGGAAGCCAGCTGGGAGCACACAGGTAGGGTGGGTCCAGCCACATGCACCATGGCCCGGGCTGCCCCCATGCCTGGGTCAGCAGGGCCAAGGGACCCACCACAGTCCGGGCAAAATCATACCATGAGCTGGATCCAGCCCACCAGCCATATTTTGCCCACCCCTGAGCTAGATACACGTAATCTTGTTTTGCTTGATTGTTTTCATCCAGTGGGGCCAGCTGTGACATCCCTAAAAACATTACCCTGCCATTACAATCCTTAGCTTCCAGCTGAGGAAAGTGGAACTGGACAGTTGGCACTTCCTTGGCTTGCTGTTGAGCAATAGGAAATTCCCATTTTCCCTGTATCCCTTCCTCCCCGAAGACTGAGTGCATGCAACCTGTAGGCATCCAGAAAAGACCCAATTCCCTTTCCCCTCCAGCCCCCACTGATGAGTACCACAACCGTGAAGTTAGAAAAAATAAATGAGAATGGCCAGAAAACATTACAAGTTAGCAAATAATATGACTAATTTCAAGCCCCATTAAGAACCAACCAGGAGAGAAAAAAACTCTTGATATCATTAAGGGATCTCTGATGAAGAGCTGAATCCAGTCATTTTACTGGTGTAAGGCCATTCCCAGCCTTCCCATATTGTAGGCCCCATTCTCTCACATTCCCCAAATCACAGACAAGGGCATATCCTGACTTTCATGAGAAGCCAATGTATGAACACCCTTGCCTGCTAGTTAGGAACATTTCCTTGGAAGGCAGCTGCTTTGGTCACCACTTCCAGTCCTTCAGTCTTCCTGCCCTGTTCTTCAAGGACATCTAATTTAAGCTCCTATCTTCATGTTGCACAGGGAGAAAAATACGATGGAAGGAAAGCAGATGTCTGGAGCTGTGGAGTCATTTTGTTTGCATTGTTAGTGGTGAGTCATCATCTTTGCTACATCCTTTAAAAGAAAAACACAATAAAAATCAACAAGGCTGCTGTATTTAATGTTAAATGTATTGACATGGCGTATATTTCTCCTGAGTTCTCTATATTTCTATAACTGTCTGCTGCGTGTACTATCTTTCTCTCTGCGTGAGTCCCATAGGAAGCACATGGAAAATGTTTCACTGCTTCTTTGAAGTGCTGCTGCCCCTGTACAGCACAGCAGAGAGGATTGTGGGAGAACTTGCTTCCCTAAATGCTCTTTGCTCTGTTATGATAGTGCAGCACTTTAGCCTGATTCAAAACTCATTGAAGTCAATTGGTCTCAAAGGGGCAAGATGGTCAAGGTTGTAATTTCTGGGGCACTAGGAAAGCTGATCTTCACCAGATCACCAAAACATCTTGGGTTTTTGCTTTTGTTTCTGTTTTCTCTTTGTTTAACTGTGTGAGGAAGTTCCAGTTTTTTGCAGTTTTCTTGGTGTGGTTTGATTTGGTTTGGTGTTTCTTACTGCATGTGCATGTAAGGTGAAATAGTCATTCTGAAACATGGGATATTTAATATATGTGATGATGAGGCATTTTAATTAGAGTGGCTCTCTGGGACCTGCTCTATTTAAAATGCCTCACCCCCAAGCACATCTATAGGCACCCTAGGCCATAGTTTCTCAACCCATGGTACGGGTACCCCAGGGGGTACACGAGACACAAGCAGGGGATACGCGGGCATGGAAAACCCCTGCAGCAAGGGGGCACCGCCGCTCCCCCTGCCGCTGCTGAGTTCACGTCCGGTCACTCGCCCCCGCCCCCAAGCCAGCTAAAGGCTGCTGCAGGAGGTGAAGGGCGGGCACACAGATACCCGTGCACTCCCCATCGACAGACAGGTAAGTTTTCTTTCTTGTTTATCCTGCCTGGGCTTTGCGGGGGGAGGGGGGCAGACTGAGACCCTGACAGTGTGGGAGGGGAGGGGCAGGGTGCTGCCCCACTCCCTCCTGCACTGTGGGAATTGCCTCATGATCCAGCCTTCCCAGGGCCCAGTTCACTGTGGGCGGGAGGGCCGGCAGTGGCACCAGGTTCTTCCCAGCACTCGGGGCAGGCTGTGGTGATGGGAGGGGGGCTGCTGCCTGCCCGCCCAAGCGCTGCTGCTGCTGAACACAGGGAAAAGCCCTGTGCTGCTGTCAGCCCCTGCCTGTAGCCAGCCTGGGCTCAGGGGCAGCTGCAGCAGGCAGCAGTCAGGCTGCAAACAGCTGCACTGGGCTCTGCAGCCCCAGCAGCAGCTCCATGCTGGCGGCGACTGCACGTGTGCCCCAAAGCAGAGAATGCATTTATCCCCACTCTCTGCTCTGAGGCGCCCATGCAGTCGCTGCCAGCACAGAGCTGATGCCGGGGCTGTGGAGCCTGGTGCAGCTGTTTGCAGCCTCCCTGCTGCAGCTGCCCAGAGCCCAGGCTGGATACAGGCAGTGCTGGCAGCGACACAGGGCTTTTCTGGGCTGTGGTGCCTCAGGGCTCACCCCGCTACTGTCTGCTCAGAGCCATGGGATGCTGAAGCCTGGAGAAGCTCCTTTGCAGTCTCCTGGCTGCAGCCAGCCCAGGCTCTGGGTAGCTGCTGCCAGCCTCAGAGCCTGGGCTGCTTGCAGTAGGGCTTGCAGCCTCCCAGCCGCCTTCTGGGAACAGCTCAGGCTCCATGGCTGGCAGCACCTGCCTAGAGCCTGGGCTGGCCGTGGAGTGCCAGGCAAAATGGCCTTGTGTGCCATGCTTGGCACGTGTGCCCTGGGGGTTGCTGACCCCTGCCCTAAAGACTTACTTCGCCATGCCGCAGGCCTTTGCTTCTCCTCATCACCCCAACCCTTGCTGCAGCAGCCCCAGAAGCAGCCGACACCACCTGCCTGCACCACAATTGCAGTTGCTACCTGTCCCCTCTTTCTCCCCCCTTCCCTCTCTCTCTTCACCCTCCCCACTTCCCTGTCTCGCTCTCTCTCTCTCATCCTATATCATTGTCTGTCTCTCTCTCTTGCCCTCTTTTCCTCTCTCTCTCTCTCTCTCTCACCCTCTTTTCCTGTCTCTCTTACTGCTTCCTCCTCTCAAAACTATGGCAAAAAATTTGGCACACTGCGCATTGTGCAGCACTTTAAATTCCCCAGCAATAATTTGGCGTGCCACGCTTTGTGCAACACTGGATTCAGCCCTCCTAGCTTTGGTCAACATCACCTCTAGCTCAGGTACTTCTTGAGCACCCCTGGTGTAAAAGGTAGCAATCCTACCCACACCAGATCAGACATCTGTCATATCACGGTCTTATATACGCAGCCCTTCTTCCAACATATGGCACACATTATTGTGTAAATATAAAATCCCCTGGAAAATTGAGTGTTGGGGTACTTATTACAATTTTCAGAAGTTAGGGGCTACTTGCTACTTAAAAGGTTGAAAAACACTGCCCTAGGAGACCTTGGTTCCAGGTGCCTTTCACTCGGGGGGCTTTGAACCTGTATCTCTCTGATATTCTAGCATAGGGCTCTAATCCCAAGGCCACAGGTGAGATATTATTGAGTCCCTTCTTCAATCCTCCTTTTCAAGTTGGGCCACTGCACCTTTTATTTAATATTCAATGGATAAAAGGGATGGGGAACAGTAAAGAAGTTTCTGCCCTGTTGAAAGCAAGGGGCTAGGTTGGAACACCCACAATACATGGCTTTTTGCTGGGTAGAATTTTGTGACTTAAGCCTGCCCATCCTACCCAGCATAGCTATGTACTTGCCCAGCCAGCGTGCAGCCTCCTGTACATGCTCAGTAGTTGCCTGGCTCTGGTGCGTCCGCACTGCGTAGGCACTAGAGTTGCAAACTGTGTAAGTGCCTTATGCAGTTGGAAAACTGCCATTTGGGTACATAAAGGGGAATATTACACTCTAATTCTTTCCAGGCTGCTCAAATGTACTACATTAAAGCTCATCTCTGGCTCAGATAAAGGCTCATTATTTCTAACTTGCTCTGAGCTCCCAAGATGATATGAATCCCCCAAACCAGGGAAAAAATGTAGCTACACAGGAAATCACTTGCTTTTGGTTTGGTTATGAAAGTGTCCCTATGGGGTCTCTAAGGGACAGGTAGTTTACACTCATACAAGGAAGAAGTAGGCTGTCGTATGCAAGAAATTGGATAGATTTAATATGCATGTGTAATTACATTTTTATTTGTATTAGTTCAAATATTTTATTTGTATTAGGTCAAATTTTTTGACCCAAATTCTGACATCCTTGTTCAGTTACTGTTTCAGAAGAAAGCTTTCTCAAATAATTTAAATGAAGTGTTTGGAGTGACTTGAACTATTTTTCCTATTATTTTTATTCAGATGATTTTTTAAGCTTTCAAATAGCCACCCTAACTTAGGATAGGAAAAGTTTTAGATAGCTCAAAAACCAAGTCTTGCCCTGCCCTGTTACTGAGTTCTTAAGAAGACATTTGAAGAGTTATACCAGGACTTATGAAGGAGTAAGGAACTCATGATTTCATGTTTTGAATCTATAGGAAAATCTAAAGCAGGAAGGATAACTGGCCATGCACTGTAAAAGTAAATTCTCCTTTTCCTGGAGGATTCTCTTCTCTTGTACTCCACTGTCTTTAAAAAATGCCTTGGTTTATATTTGGAAATAAACCTGACTCTGCAAAACAATTGCAAGAAGCCCATCTTTTATGCTGAGAACAGAGCACTCAATGAATTATATCAGAACTAATACTCTCAAAAAATGTTGGATCATAATAACAGTTGTTAATAAAAGGCCCTTAATTTTTTTACCTCCAGGAAATGTTGCAAAGCAGTCTCACTAACTTTATTGTGAATTATTGTATATTAGCCAAAGTACCAAACTGTCAGTATAGTTTTTACTTAAAGTCCAGGACACAAAGAACTGGATGAATTATGAGACTGGTAATGTAATATGGGGCCTTTTGCTTCTAGACCACTAGTTGGAACAAATGTAGGGTGATAGCATCCATTGCTTTTACCATTAGTTTGGCTTTGGTGGATTCTGTAAATAAAGTCAGTAGTTTCTGGATATTAGATACAAAGTATTAACATACACAAGGACTACATTGACTGAAATAAATACAATGCAAACACTGAAAATGTTGAAACTGTGGCAGTAACTGAGGACCTGCCACTCCCACAGACTTTAATGCGATATAAGGAAACTCAGTGCCTAGCAAGATACAGCCTTTAATTGGGAGAGAATGTCTTTCATGAGAGACATCCTCTGGTGAGAAATAAGGTTATAATAAAAAATATCATAGGTTTATCCAGCTGGGCCTTCCTTTGAATTTAAGGTGGTTGATTTTGAACTTGCAATAAGGGATAGATCTTTTGCTTCTTTTTCTGACAAGATTGTGTTCCACTGGACATGGAAATTTCATCTAAAAAAGCTCTAAGAAATAGCATGGAAGAGGGTAGTGAGCAATAGCATTTGGTGGACAGTATGAGATAATAGCCTTAGTGTGGAAGCTGGACAGTCCAAGTCAGAGAGGTTGAATGTCCTTGTTTCTTTGGGACATGCACACGGATGCTACTGGTCTGCATTTTTTCCAGCTATTTCATTCCATTGCTCCATTTAGATGGGTTCTTTTTCCCCTTTAAAAGTCTCTCATATGCCCCTTGCCTTGCTTGTGATGTTTGGAATAAATATGTCCAAGGAAAATTAGAATTAAGGAGCTGATAAACATTGCTGTAGTCAGAGTATGCCCAAGAGGACTGCTGAGAGATCAAAGGCTTGAGACTGTTACCAAACATTGAGCTGAATTTAAGTGGATCACTGTATCTTTGGTAAATTTGCCTGAGAAGGCAACATCACATTTTGTATTATCTTTTATTCAGTTACTTATTTGCTAATAAAAAATGTAATAGAAAAAGGTTTGTCTCATGCTTTGTTTTCCATGTTGCAGAAAATTAAGCAACACTAAGAAATTATCTTCTTTTGGTGAGGAAGAATATGCTTCGCTTGTTATAGTACAGTGTGAAGTATTACATCTTTCTTTCTTCCTCTCTTTCTTGACATTTGGCTCAATTTTTCTCATTTTTCCTTCTCCTATTTTCCTTTCCTTCCTCTCCCCCTTACCGTTCCCCCTGTTGTGTCCCTGCAGGGTGCCCTGCCATTTGACGATGACAATTTGCGGCAGCTATTGGAAAAGGTGAAGCGCGGAGTGTTCCACATGCCACATTTTATCCCCCCGGACTGTCAGAACCTCTTGCGGGGGATGATTGAAGTGGATGCCTCGAAACGGCTCACGGTAAGGGGGCATTTGCTTCCATCAGGTGACTAGAGCATTAGCAGGACTTTCCATCTCCATATGTATGTTTGAGTTTCCTCCAGATCTTCCCCCTCCTTGTGTTTATTTTTGCACAGTTCAGGTAGCTCTCTTCTCCACTGCTGCTGACAGGCATCTCTCCCTGGAGCATGAATAAAGGGAGGTAGATAAAGGTTTATAGGATAATCTGACTTTCTTTTAAAAAAATGTTGCAGGCAGTTTATGTTTTGTTTCCACTCTGGTCCTTCATGTAGAAATGGATTCCTCTTTGCAATAACAACCCTTCATAGATGGGGTACATTTTGGAGTCAGCCTGTACACTCTGGTACCCCAAACTGGCAGAGGGTTTTGTGCCAAGATGCTCTCCCCCCACCCCCTTCCTTTCCTAGGTGTCCCCATCTTTTGCATTTCTGACTGAAGATATGCTCTAAAGTTTCATAGTGCTTAGGGTCAGAAGGGATCTAAACAGATCATCAGGTTCAACCCCCTGCCCCGGGCAGGAACGAGTGCAGGGTCATAACACACCTGCCAAATATCTGTCCAGCCTCCTCTTGAAGACCCCCAAGGTAGGAGAGAGCACCACCTCACTTAGGAGCCCATTTCAGAGCCTGGCAGCCCTAACTGTAAAGTAATGTCTCCTGATGTCCAGCCTGAACCTGCTTTCTAACAATTTGTGGCAGTTATTCCTAATAACCTGGGTGGTGCCCGGGGGAGCAGAGCCTCCCCCAATTCCCACTGGTCCCCCATGGTGAGTTTGTAAAGGGCCACCAGATCCCCTCTCAGCCATCTCTTGTGGAGGCTGAATAGATTCAAGCCCTTCAGCCTGTCTTTGTAGGGCCTGGCCTGCTGCCCCTTGACCATGCGAGTGGCCCTCCTCTGGACCCTCTCAACCCTGTTACCCTCTGGACCCTATGTTAAGTAGTCTCCTTTCTTTCAGGATACACTGCCTTCTGTCCTGGACCCTGCATGCTGTCCTCTGCCAGCATGAATAACAAATGTTTGGAACTGTGTTTTCCAGACTCTTTAGACTTTGTGTTGTATCTTTGTGCACTTTGTGCCCTAGGTACCTCATGCTGAGTCCCCCAAAATACTCCATCTAAGATTAATCCCACCACCATCTGAGACCCTACAGCTTGAGTGCACTGCAGCGATGATATCCTTCACTGACATCATCTTAAAGCTTCTTGGGTAATTTGAAAATGTAACAGTCAAAATAATTTTAAAAAGCAAGATTGCCCGCTATTCAGGGGAGGTTTCTGACTTGATGGGCATTTTTGCCCTTGTAAATCATTTCATCAGGATCTGATGATGATTTTATATGAACTTACGCTTGCAGATGAGTGGGAGTATAAAAAAATGTAAATTTAAAATTCCTCCTGGTTCTTCATTCTGCAAAAATATTTCTAAATTAACTCACAGATCAGCACTTGGCATCTCTGTTGAGACTGCTAACAGCAGCATGAGTCTGCACTAGATGGTGGTGATTTGGTGATGCAGATACCAGTCTTCCAGGAAGTGAAGTGAACCTTCCTCCCTGCCTTGCTTCTGAATGCTGCCCAGTGCTGGCACTGTGGGCTTTGATTCTCACCAGCTGCATCTACACAAGACGCTGACTGTGCAGTAGCTCGTTACTACTGCACAGTAGCATCATGTGGCATGAAATGTGCAGAGAAGAGCCACTCATAAGATTAGAGGCTTGAAGAGCAAGCCAGTACAAGGAGAGGCTGACAGATATGGGACTGTTCAGCCTAGAAAAGAGAAGACTTTGGTGGGATTTGGTGGCAGCTTACAGGTATATCAGGGGAGAGCATCAGGGGCTAGGCGAACAACTATTCACCAAAGCACCCCAGAAGAAAACCAGGAGCAGCAGTCAAACTCCTAGAAGATTTTAGACTGGATATAAGGAAAAATGTCTTGATGGTTCATGTGACCAGACTCTGAGATAGACTCCCAGTGGAGGTGGTGCAGCACCTACCCTGGAGATCTTCAAAAGGAGAGTGGACACACACCTTGCTGGGGTTATTTGACCCCAGCAGTCTTTCCTGCCCAGAGCTGGGGGGTTGGACCTGATGATCTCACGAGGTCCCTTCCAGCCCTAAACTTCTGTGAATTTGTGATACTACTGTGCAGTAGCAACAAGCTACTGCACAGTCAGCATCACCAGAAAGTCATTTGGGGACAGTACTATGCAGTAACACCACTTACTGCACAGTCATTTAGTACTTGCGTATATAAGTACTAAATGTCTGAGCAGTAGCAATTGTGCAGTCAGCGTCTTGTGTACATGTAGCCACTCATTACCATACCAGGTCCCATTCTAATTAATGACTCAGAGGTGAAAAGTCCAGTGTCATTTTTAATAACCCAAATCAGGAATTTTCCAAGGAAGTTGCATTCTAGTAGAAGAGAAAATTTTATCAAATAAAAAATATTCGTTGAAAAGCTGTTTTCCCCACACTTTTTTTTGAAGAATATCTTTTTAACTTTTTCAAGTTTTTCATGAAATTCCATATGTTTGAGACTTTAATTATGAGTGTTTTCTAAACGGTAATCAAAGCTTTTTATTTACTGAAATTTGGTCCTCCATGTACAAAATTTTGCTAATGTTTCTGAGGTTTTCAACAAAAATATGGAAAAAATGGAAAATACAGTATTTTAAAGGAAAAAAATGGGTTCCAAACTATCTTGAAAGAAGACCAATTTAAAAATATTGAATTTTTGCACAAATTATTCATAGCCCTACTCTATGAGACTGGTTCTGTCCCACCGAATTTAGAGGGACCCAGAGGAAGATGCTTTCATTAGCAAAAGTACTGACTTAGATTTGGCAGTCCTAGCTTCCATTCCCTGTTTTGCCACAGACTTTCTTAATGAACCTGGGCACATCGCTTTGCTTCTCTGTGCCTCAGTTCCCTGCCTATAACATAGTTAACACTACTTCCCTACTTTACTGGGCTATTTGGAGGAAAAATATTCTAAAGATGGTGAAACATACATGGATTGATGTACTGGGAGCCATATACATAATTATGAGCAAGGATCCTTGTTTTCTCTCATAAAAAATTATCCCCAATTTTTGGATAAAAGAAAGTAACCCAAAATCCCCATTTTTCTGTGCTTAAAGTGAAACACCACTTATATATAGATATGTAGATATATATATATTGTGGTGTTTCATTTTAATCACAGAAAAATGGGGATTTTGGGTTACTTTTTAATTTGAAAATTGGGGATTTTTTTATCAGAGAAAACCAGAATCCCTGATTTTGACAAATACCCAGTGCAACACCAATTCAACCTTAATAGTGAACAGCATGCTATCTTGTTTTCTACTTATAGAAATCTTCAGCTTGTTTAGCAGCTGTAGAATAAGCAAGTAGGGCTGGAAGGGACCTTACAAGCCCCTTGCCTAAGGCAGGATTATCCCGTCCTAACCAGAACTAAATCATGCCAACCAAGTGTCTGTCCAAACTGATCTTGAAAATTTCTAGGGATGAAGATTCCACAAAGTCTCTAGGAGCCTGTTCCAAAGCTTAGCCATCCTCACAGTCAGAAATGTCCTCCTAATTTCCATCCTAAATTTCCTCTGCTGCTCTTTGAGGCCATTGCTCCTACTCCTATCCCCTACAGCCATAAAGAAAAGCCTATCTGCATCCTCTCTGTAGTTGTCTGGCAGGTATTTCAAGACTATTATTGAATCCCTCCTCAGTCTTCTCCTCTGACTAAATAACCCTGGCTCCTTCTACTTTTTCTCATAAGTCATGTTTCCCATGCTTCTAATAATTTTTGTCGCTCAGCATTGGACTCTTTCCAAACTATCCACATCTTTCTTGAAGTGTCGGGTCCAAAACTGGACACAGTACTCCAGGTGAGGCCTCACAAGTGCAGAATAGATCATATTACTGTTGGTTTATATTCAGCACCATTGGTTCATATTCAGCTTATGGTCTATTCTAACCCACAGGTCTTTTTCTGCAGTACTGCAGCTTAGTCAGTATGTATTTCTACGTGCGGTTATTCTGTCCCAAGTGCAGGACTTTGCACTTATCCCTGTTGAATTTCATCTGCTTTATTGTGAACCATTTTTTCCAGTTTACCCAGGTCACTCTGGGTCCCAGCCCTGTCCTCCAAAGTGTCTACAACTCCACCCAGATTGGTGTCATCCACAAATTGCTAAATGTGCACTCAATCCCACAGTCCAAATCATTACTAAAAATAGTAAACAATACCTGACACAGGACAAACCCTAGGGAACCTCACTTGATACTTCCTCCCAACTAGACATTGAGCTACTGATACCTACTTTTTGAGTACACTGATCCAACTAGTTACGTATCCACCTTACAGTACTTTAGTCTATATTTCCTTAACTTGTTAATGAGAATGTCATGGACATCCACACAGATCTGAGCAATTCAGATGTTCTTATTTTACTCACAAAGACCCGGACCCATTGAGGACAATAAATTAGCACTTTGCTTACTGTAAAAGGTTAGTTTTAGGGAACATAATTCAAGTAAGACATAGACAAATTAGAAAGAATCAGTTATGATTTGGAGGGGGGTATTCAGCACACAGTTAACAAATTTGAAGGTGACACTAAGCTGGGTGGAGTTGCACACAATTTAGAGGATAGGACAAGGATTCAGAATGACCTGGATAAACTGAAGATATGATCCAAAAATCAATGGAATGAAATTCAGTAAAGACAAGCACATAGTCCTGTACTTAAGGTGGAATAAACATATCCATAAATACAGACTGTAAAATGACTGGCTTGGACCTGGGGGGTTATAGTGGACTGTAACCTGAGCCAACAGCATGTGGTTTTTGCAAAAAGAACCCGTATTGTACTGGGCTGTATTAATAGGAACATTTCTAGCAAACGAACAGAAGTGACTCTTTCAGTCTCTGAGGCACTGGGAAAATCTCACCTGGAGTCCTGAGTCCAGTTTGAGCACCATATTTCAAGAAAGACAGGG